TGTCAGTCACCGAAAAGTTCCCAAGTCAGGATTTTATGTATTCCGTAACTAAAAATAAGACACACAACAAACTTATAATAACTCGGGTAAGGTCTTGGTGTAATTTCGACGCCATATTAGTTACGATATAATATCTAGGTACAGTATTTATCATCAGTGGATCAATATAATGAAGAATTCTTACAGTTACGAGGGAAAAGTTATCGTACGGACAATTGAAAATCCTAGTAGTAGAGATACTGTTGCCTGCATAATTATTCTTCCTCTCAGTCTGTTTAACTCTCCGGGCATGAATATATATTTCGTGGATATACTGTATTCATGTAGTTTGTAGGGCCCTCCTAATGCTATGCTAACCTAATCTAACCTAACCTAACCCAACGTAACCTAACCTAACCTAACCATTAACTTCAAAAATATGTCCCTTAACACCTATTTAAACTATCGCCAAAATAAGACATTAAAACTCTCACACTTAAAGACCTGTCTGACCTCTTGAATTCTCACTGAGGTCATCCTTGAAGGGTGAAGTATAATGATAAGCCTCTCGCCCTCAAAGAGTTCGACCCCTGAAGTATTTACCACCGGTCGTCCTTGAAGGGTGAAGTATAATAATCCTTTCGCCCTCAAAGAGTTCAACCCCTGAAGTATTATCACCGGTCGCCCTTGAAGGGTGAAGTATAGTAATAAACCTTTCGCCCTCAAAGAGTTCAACCCCTGAAGTATTATCACCGGTCGTCCTTGAAGGTTGTATTATTATTTCATCAGTGATTGGATGTTTAAGTTCACACTTTGCTGCTCTTGCTGAGTCTAGCCATAACATTACCTCCAATCATAGGCTCCAGTTATATTACGTTAGATTAGGTTAGGTTACGTTAGATTAGGTTACGTTACGTTAGGTTGGATCAGTAACTATCAGGACTGAACCTATGTGACCAGCAACAGAAGGCGTGTATACCTCTGAGCCACAACTAGCAACAAGCGACCAGGTCCTGTGTACCATAAGAACCTTCTTCAGGAGATAAATAAGACAAATAATTGGCAAGAGTCATTGAAGTCATTAGTGTCAACAGGAGTGAGATATTCCCTGCTGGTAATGATGATGATGGCTTTATTTACTGACGGTCTGACCCTTCAGTGTCCTACAGGTTTCTGAAGGAGGAGGAAGGTTGGGCGGGTGGGTGGAGTAGGTGGGTGGAGTGGGTGGGTGGGTGGAGTGGGTGGGTGGGTGGGTGGCTTTGTTGATAGACGGAGCCTCTCATGTTAGACAATAAGTGGTCCAAGAGAACGATTAAGCTATGATTATAAAATGTTTACAAATTTACAAGGTAGTCTGTTTAGGGTGTGTGTGTGTGTCCGAGGCGTGTGGGATGCAGCCTACTATAGATGGGCATCAAACATTAAGAGTGTAAAGAAAATAGAGAAGGTTCCCCATGTACAGACACAGTGTGGGGAGTGTTGTATTTGGTCAGCGCCGTCACTGCCAAGGACACGATGAACCAGCACCCTCTTAGTTTGGTGGCACAAGGCTCTAGTCGGGTTGAATAAGTCAGAGTTAATTTCTCGGGAGTTTTGGAACACTACCACCACCACCACTACCATCACCACTACCACCACCACCACTACCATCACCACTACCACCACCACTACCATCACCACTACCACCACCACCACTACCATCACCACTACCACCACCACCACTACCACCACCATCACCATCACCCCCCCCCCTTCATTTTTGGCTGCACCCGAACTCAATCTAAAGCCTGTTCTGACCTGACCCTGGGCAGTAACCACAGTCCTTGTACATACACGCCAATACTAATGAATTCATGTACTTACATTATACTGGCGGTGGTAATTTGTGTTGAGATGTCAAGTAAATTCTTCGCTCATGTTACTTACGGAATATAATTATAAAACCCTTAAAAGGATAAAAGTGCTTGTCTCTCTCCCTCTCTGCCATGATGTAAATATTACTTTCTTGTTTATTAATGACAAACAAGTACAAGAGAAGACAAAAACATTACCAAAAAATACAAGTTGGTCAATAATCACGGTAACCAATCACAAGCCCTCACGAGAGAATGTGGGCGGGGCTTATTTTTACATTTCTACAATAAACAGATTATTCTGAGTAAGTACATGGGGTGAGATGGTCGACAACAGTGAGTACACCAGTGTCCTGTTGGGCGGCGAATCATGAATAAGTCAGTGTCCTCTTGGAGATGGCTGGGCGTGTGTGTCCGTGCCCTGGCTTGGGGTGAAGGCGGAGATTGAGGTGATGACGACACTAAAAGGTGGAGTGGCGGCGTAGAAGGAGCAGTGAACCGAGTCAAAACAAGACCATTTAGCGTGGGTAGTGAAGAGGCGCGAGAATGAATAACAAAAAGGGGGCGTTACCGAGAATGAATAAACAAACAGGGTTATCACACTCTCACGTGACCAAAGCGGAGACTAGGAAAAAATATACAGTACTATATTCAAGGGATATTATATATTTACTTATTCGTTGACAATAATTAACTCTTCGTAGCTATATCTTTTAAATTACTGGGTGTATGAAGACCCTGTTATATATTACTTGTCAGTGTAATGTAAGGTTAAGTGTATTTAGGATTACCTGTAGATTAGACACCCCAGCTTATTTTACCTGAAGATTAGACACCCCAGCTTATTTTAACCTGCAAATTAGACACTTTCAGCTTATTTTACCTGAAGATCAACCACTCCAACGCTAATATAACCTAACCTAACTTAACCACACCTAAACTAACTTAATCTAACCAAACCTATTTTAACAACCAAATTAAACCTAACCCCCCCCCCCCAAAAAAAAAGCATTAGGGTGGTTAATCTTCAGAGCGAAATAAGCTGGGGGTGTCTAATATTCAAGGTGATCTTATCCAGTGGGAGGAGGAGGGAAGGTGGGGGGTGGGAATGGAGAAGGTTAGAAGAGAGAGAGAGAGAGAGAGAGAGAGAGAGAGAGAGAGAGGGGGGGAGGGGGGCTTTAAACTTATAAGATGAAAGTTACAGATAGGAGACATGTATGGGAGCAGTGAGACATGTTTGGTAGGTTGGTTGGAGGTCAGGTGAGGTGACGTGACCCTAGGTGAGGGAAGGGAGAGAAAGATGTTGTCGGGGAGGTGGTGGTGTGAGGGTGGATATGGTTAGGTTAGGTTAGGTTCGGCTTGTTTGAATTTGGGTAGTTTAGGTTAGGTTAGGTTAGTAAGGTGAGAGAGAGAGAGAATTCTGATGGGGTGTGAAAGAGGTGGAAAAGAAGGAGGAAGAGAAGAGGAAGAAGAGAAGGAGGAAGAGAAGAGGAAGAGGAGAAGGAGGAAGAGAAGAGGAAGAAGAGAAGGAGGAAGAGAAGAGGTGGAAAAGAAGGAGGAAGAGAAGAGGAAGAAGAGAAGGAGGAAGAGAAGAGGAAGAAGAGAAGGAGGAAGAGAAGAGGAAGAAGAGAAGGAGGAAGAGAAGAGGAGGTGGTCCACATGTGAGAGATAAGACACACTCGTAAAATATTAAAATGCAACTTTTCCTCAACCTAACCTAACCTAACCTAACCTAACAGTATCCTGCACACTCCCCTCAGTCAAAGGTCACATCAGTCACAAACACCTAGACTAATAAACCCAGTCTTCCTTCATCCATTCCTCTATTTCTCCTAACCTAACCTAACCAAACACTCCTATCTTCTTACTAATTATCATCATCATTTATTCCACTGGATTCGATTTTCCACCCAAGAAAAATTAAAAAAAATAAATAAATAAAATAGAATTAAAACATTATTGGTTTCTGTCGCTTGGGATATAAACTTGTGTCATACCTCAGTAAGTAGGGAATAAAACTTGATCTTATCACCGAACAGGTTTATTGGGAGGTGGGGGGGGGAGTGGAGGGGGGGGGGTAGTTTAACAGGTAATCACCCACGGTAAAATATCGTGGGTGTTCGTACAAGCACGGCTAATCAAAGTGAATGCATTACTCAGCTCATAGTGTCCTGTGAAGTAGTTTGAGATACTGTATACTGTTGTCGGGTGTTTTCCTCTTCTCTGTGAGTGTCTGTCTGTCTGTCTGTCTGTCGTTTACAATAAAAACTAGTTCTTTGGATTTTCATTGTGTTTTTTTTCCTGATATTGAACGGGTTTCTTTTTTTTTCTATCTTGTAAAAAAAAATCGTCTTTGAGTGATTAAAAAAATGCCATCCCATCAAAGGTGTTAAAAGTTTAAACCCTTATCCTCAGATTAAACCATCGTCTTAGAATAATTAAAACGTCTCCCCGAATGGTACAAATGAGTGGTCGTGTTTTAGGACTACGACACACCACAGATAATAATAATTAATACACTGGATAATGCCGTCAGCCTCAGGAGATCACAAGGGCAGTGTAAGTTTGTTGATATTCTACCCGACGACCATGACTAACTTAGGACCAACTTGACGACAACAGTGAAGGTACGACCGCTGTTGTTTACTCGTGAAGGAGAGAGAGAGAGAGAGAGAGAGAGAGAGAGAGAGAGAGAGAGAGAGAGAGAGAGACGCCACAGTGATGAGTTGTAACATTCTCGACAACGCTTAGGCTAACTATCTCAAGATGCGTTGAAATAACATGGCTTCATCTCACACGCGGACAGTCAAGCTACTTACTAACATTACACGGAGGGTGAGTGGTATAACGTAGCCTGACGGAGGGTGAGTGGTATAACGTAGTCTGACAGAGGGTGAGTGGTATAACGTAACCTGACGGAGGGTGAGTGGTATAACGTAGCCTGACAGAGGGTGAGTGGTATAACGTAGCCTGACGGAGGATGAGTGGTATAACGTAGCCTGACGGAGGGTGAGTGGTATAACGTAGCCTGACAGAGGGTGAGTGGTATAACGTAGCCTGACGGAGGGTGAGTGGTATAACGTAGCCTAACAGAGGGTTGAGTGGTATAATGTAACCTGACGGAGGGTGAGTGGTATAATGTAGCCTGACGGAGATTAGTGTACTCACCCCTGGACGAAGGTGCCGGTGAGGGCGACGAGGCGGAGGAGCAGCAGCAGTGCGCCAGAGACCGTCATGGCGGGGACGTGCTAGCTGGCTGAGTCCCACAGATGGAGTGGTGGCGGGTGGCTGGCGGGCTATCCTTTTACCTCAACCAGCCCGTTCTCCTCCTCCTCCTCCTCCTCCTCCCCCCCTACTCATCATATTACAACCCCCTCTTCCACCTCCTCCTCCACATCTTCCTAACCCTCCTATTCCTCTTCCTCGTCGTATTACTGTCCCTCTTCCTCCTCCTCCTCCTCTTCCATGGAGCTCTTATTAACCCATAGGCAAGTGGATGGGTGGTGGATAGGTGGGTGGTAGAAGGGTGGTGGTAGGTGGGTAGATGGGTAGTGACAGGTGGGTGGTAGTGAGTAGATGGGTGGTGGTAGGTGGGTAGATGAATAGCGACAGGTGGGTGGTAGGTGGGTGGTTATGGGTGGGTGGTACTGGGTGGGTGGGTGGGTGGGTTTTTGGCCAACCATCGAGTGGGCGGCGTCTTGTTTATACTGACACTCAGCTGATTACTAATGATTCACTGACAGAAATGCGTGGAAAGGAAGGTCCGTATATCCTACCGTCCGTATATCGTACCGTCCGTATACCCTACCGTCCGTATATCCTACCGTCCGTATATCCTACCGTCCGTATATCCTACCGTCCGTATATCCTACCGTCCGTATATCCTACCGTCCGTATATATCCTACCGTCCGTATATCCTACCGTCCGTATAGTCCGTATATACCGTCCGTATATCCTACCGTCCGTATACCGTCCGTGTACCGTCCGCATATCCCGTCCGTATATCCTACCGTCCGTATATCCTACCGTCCGTGTACCCTACCGTCCGTATATCCTACCGTCCGTATATCCTACCGTCCGTATACCCCTACCGTCCGTATATCCTACCGTCCGTATATCCCATCGTCCGTATATCCTACCGTCCGTACCGTCTGCATCCTATCCCATCCGCATATCCTACCGTCCGTATATCCTACCGTCCGTATAATCCCTACCGTCCGTATATCCCACCGTATACCCTACCGTCCGTATATCCCATCCGTATATACCGTCCGTCCGTATACCCTACCATCCGTATATCCCACCGTCCGCATATCCTACCGCATATCCTACCGTCCGCATATCCTACCGTCCGTATCCTACCGTCCGTATACCCTACCGTCCGTATACTATCCGCTACTGTCCTACCAGTCCGTATATCCTACCGTCCGTACCCTGTATATCCTACCGTCCGTATAACCTACCGTCCGTATATCCTACCGTCCGTATATCCACCGTCCGTATATCCTACCGTCCGTGTGCCACCGTCCGTATATCCCAACCGTCCGCATATCCTACCGTCGTATATCCTACCGTCCGTGTGCATCTACCGTCCGTATAATCTCTACCGTCCGTATATCCTACCGTCCGGTATATATCTACCGTCCGTATATCCTACCGTCCGTATACCCTACCGTCCGTATATCCTACCGTCCGTATAACCTACCGTCCGTATATCCTACCGTCCGTATATCCTACCGTCCGTATATCCTACCGTCCGTATACCCTACCGTCCGTATATCCTACCGTCCGTATATCCTACCGTCCGTATATCCTACCGTCCGTATATCCTACCGTCCGTACGTCCTACCGTCTCTCTGTCTCTCTTTCTCTCATAAATCTTCTCCGTAAATTCTCCCAAGACCAGCTTTGTCGTCATGTGTGTGTGTGTGTGTGTGTGTGTGTGTGTGTGTGTATAATAATAATAATAATAATAATAATTAACGGTTTATTGAAAAAGCATGGCAGCCGGAAGGCTGAAAATATACAATTATATAATTGGGGAATGGGTCTCTTGATTTACAAATGATGTACAAGTAACATAAGTGATACAAATATGATATATAATAATTAGGTGTTGATAATTTTTACAATGGTTGGGACTGTGCTGTTCTTGTAGCAATCAGTTCGTGCTCGTTTGGGCTGGAGCGGGTTGGGCGGGTGTGGCCACATGGCCAGGACAGTAGCTTGGGGCAATGCAGGTGTGCTCCATCCTTCAGGTTAGGTCAGGTGAAGCCGTGAGGTCAGGTCAGGTTAGGTCAGGTCCAGCCACACTCAGTATTGCTGTGTTTTTGTGCTTTTCCTTCGAGTTAAAATTGCCACTTTTGTATATCAATTGTGGGTTGATCGTCAATCTTTGCACTGTACTGTTGGTGTGAGGATGTTGATAAATCCAGATGGGAAGGAGGAGATTGGGGAGGGGAGAGCCCGACAGACCGGGCTGGCAGCTGTCTCCATGATCAAGAGACCACGGCCGCGTTAGCGGGCAGCGCCGACTACACACGTCCTTACTCTATATAGACTATGTGTGTGTGTGTGTGTGTGTGTGTGGACTGGTATCATCATCATCATCATCTCCATTTCACCCGACTTCAACTCCAAGTATGCTAATTTATCCCTAACGTAACCAATTGCATTCAGACAATAATTGTAACATTGTATCACCGTTTAACCGTATCAATGTATCACTATAATTAGTGTAAATTGTTCCATTGTATAATCAATAAGTTATTCGCAACATCACTTCCTTTAGCTTTCTGTCTCACTACAGATGGCGTCACCCACATGGTAGGAGGCGTGGTTACATGGTGAGGTGGCTTGTTTGATGAGGGGGCGTGGTTACATGGTGAGGAGGCTTGTTTGATGACGAGGCGTGGTTACATGGTGAGGTGGCTTGTTTGATGAGGGGGAGTGGTTACATGGTGAGGTGGCTTGTTTGATGAGGGGGCGTGGTTACATGGTGAGGTGGCTTGTTTGATGAGGGGGCGTGGTTACATGGTGAGGAGGCTTGTTTGATGACGAGGCGTGTTTACATGGTGAGGAGGCTTGTTTGATGACGAGGCGTGGTTGCATGGTGAGGTGGCTTGTTTGATGAGGGGGCGTGGTTACATGGTGAGGTGGCTTGTTTGATGAGGGGGCGTAGTTGCATGGTGAGGTGGCTTGTTTGGTGAGGAGTGGATTACCTTGACTACTCCCATTAATATTTGACGATGACGTTAGTGCAAAGTTTTCCTAGTCCTGGTGGTAAGCGACGTAATTTTATTACTATTATTACTATTAACATTATTATTATTATTACCAATCTAATATCATAACTCACCATAATTACAAACACAGACAACAATGCACAAAGGTGACCGCTATATACCCGTCGTAATTCGAATTTTAAAACTTACAAGAAACTCTGGAACTTCAAACTTTATAATATATGTATCATTCAGAATATTTTAAACTATTATAACAAAAATAGAATTGGTCTCATCCTGGGACTATTGTGAAGAGGTAAATATCAGCGTTAAGAAATAAGATCAGCGAATAAGAATATAGTACTGGAACCTTTGTGTGTGTGTGTTGTGATGTTACAGTACTACATTAATATAGGACTTTGTCTATTTGTTTCTTTGGTGGTTTATTTGCCTCTCTCTTTGTGTATTTATCAACTTATCTGTATATTTAAGTATTTATTTACCTTTGTGATCACTCTCTCTCTCTCTCTCTCTCTCTCTCTCTCTCGCAGTTGACCCTCCATCCTTCCTGTTTATGAGGTCAGTACCAGTGACCTGACTCTCTCTTTCTACAAGGTCAGGTGAGGTCAGGCAGTTTGGAAAAGGAAGTGATAGATAGTTGGCCAGTGCTTTCACCTCTGATGGGCCAACCCTCAGTCCCCGCCAGACATTTCTTCCATCACATACAGTACAGTCTAAGTAACCCGGAGAGGTGGTTTGTGTCTGATTCATAATTACCCTCCTTCATTTTTTCATTATAAAAAAGAAAATTAAGATCGCCTTAATATTAGACACCCCAGCTTATATCACCTGATAAATAAACACTGTAACGCTAATCTAGTCTAATCTAACCTAACACAACTTAACCTAACTTTACATAACTTAAGCCCCCCCCCCCATCAAGTAGTGAGCTTACATAACTTACATGGCGTGGAGGCATGTTTACAATGGTGCGTGGAGGCATGTTTACAATGGTGCGTGGAGGCATGTTTACAATGGTGCGTGGAGACATGTTTACAATGGTGCATGGAGGCGTGTTTACATGTTGAGGAGGCGTGAAATAAGTCGTGGTGTCTCATCTTCCAGTGATACAAAGATGGTTTCCTCTACGTAGTTCCGTCTCCATCCCATTTGTCCTTGTACAGGGAATTTTTTATATGTATGTATTTATTTGCAAAGGCCCGCATGCTTAAAAATACCGTGCATGTAATATGACGAACATGGAGGATGTATATATGGCAGTAAGACGACCTTGTGGTGATGTGTGATATTATGACTGAGGTGGAGTGAGGGTGTTCAATAACTTTAAACCTTGTTCATAACCATAGAGGTGATATGATCGTAAGTTGTTCAAGATCTTTCCAAAATATAATAACATTCCCTCGTGATCATATAGAAAATAGCCTATATTGTGACTAATATACTACCACGTGTTATCGGAGTTTTATATTAATTTTACACGTGTAGTGGAATTACGCAGCTCTCAAGTCTTTTACGAGGTCTGGTTGACGAGTTTTCTCAGAGATGCTGTGGGTGGGTGAGCCAAGAGCCTCTCAACCTTGACCAGCGGTGGTGACTAAAATCGTGGCGTCCAGAACGTCTTACCCCACATCACACAACATCCCTCACGTCAATCACTAATGGTTTGTGAATACCTTGGTCACACACACACACACACACAACATTTAGGAATTCCACACTGGCGGAACTCGAATACTTCCTGTGCAATTCCTCGGTGTTGTGATTGTGGTGTCGCTTTTATGAAAATGAACTGTACTGTATCGATATTTTTAGGTTAGGTTGGGTTAGGTTGGATTAGGTTAGGTTGGGTTGGATAAGCTTGAGTATCGTGCGGGCGGATACTCAAAACAACGCCTAAGTTACACAGTATACAGTGTTCAAGCTTACAAGCTACCAACAACAGTGTAAATACCCCATACTCAGCACTATTTTGCCATGTTGTAAGAATATTGTAACTAATGTAAATATTGTAGTGTAAAGGTCTGTGCAA